CTCTCTCTCTCTCTCTCTCTCTCTCTCTCTCTCTCTCTCTCTCTCTCTCTCTCTCTCTCTCTCTCTCTCTCTCTCTCTCTCTCTCTCTCTCTCTCTCTTCTCTCTCTCTCTCTCTCTCTCTCTCTCTCGGACTTTGAATACTAGTAGCTGCCACACCTGTATTTCCCCCGCCCCTCCCAACCTTCCAACCCTAGACACGAACCATTAACATCTGTGTAGTCTGATGATTCACCTAACAGCCTTCAAACTGCACAGTAACACAAGCACACTGTTTTAGCCGCTTGTTCCCTTGCAAACTTGCCAACTAGACTCCTGCTTCGCAGCAAACTGCGTCAACGCACTGGCTCACTTCCCATAACTTGCACTGGTTAGCTTTTGCGTCTACACAGAGGTCAATTGGACGCATTTGGGGCATTTTCGTACTGTCGCTGCGATCTAGCGCTGGATAGACGGTGTGCTGGCTATCATGTTCGACCTCATTCTCTTCCTCTCGTGGAGACCGTTCCAGGAAGCCCTAGATTGTGAGGATTGAGTGAGTAGAACTGAAGCTATGATCCAAGGAACACGAAAAAATGCAGAATTTTGAAATTTTCCTGTGGCTCTTAAAGGGTTAACTTGCTAGTCTTAACCCTTTAAGAGCCGCCCCATACTTGAATGCGTCGTAAACGACGCATTCAAATGCAAACTTCAAAAGATCGTAACTCAGTCCAATCTCGCTCAAATCCATCGATCGAAATATCCAGGGCGAAGAGAAAACTCTCACCTGTCGGGAGAAACAATCCGCGAAGCGCTGCGAGCAACGGTTCCCGCTGGACCGTGAATTTTTCTGCTTTTAAGTGCCCTCGTACTTCTTGGCACCTTCATTCGCCCTCGGGTTGTGGAGTAGCTCTGCTCGTTTTGTCACTGCGAATTGAAATAAAGCCAAACAACAGCAATTCAAAGGAACAGTCGGGAAAACCTGTCAGCGCCTTCTAGGAGCAGCCTGGTCCCGTAGCTCAGATGGTTAGAGCATTGCTCATGACAAGCAAGGTCCCGGGTTCGAGTCCTGGTGGGTCTGGCATTCTTCTTCTCTTTCTTCTCTTTCAAGCAGTTCACTTCCCCGCGGGAGTATTCGAATTTGAAGCTCTCCCGATCCTTTCAAAACAACGATTCGCTCTCCTCATGATTGTTTTGTTTCTTGATGTTTGTAATGTAACACCAACAGCAGCAGCAGCAGCTGAAGCTGCAGACAATGGTGGTGTAGATGAAGCGGCTGGAAAAGCTGCCCGGCCAGTCACCGGCACAGCCTACTTCACTCGCAATGGAGAGAGGTTCGGGAAGGAAGTTCCCGGCGTGCTCGGTGGTGGACAATACCCGTTCCTTAGCTTGCACGGAGACGTGAGTAGTTTCATGCTGCTGCTGCCGCCGTCGCCGTCTTTTTGTGGCGAGCTTCTCTGTAGGCACTGCATGTTGGTGTTGGTGGTGTTGGAGTGGTGTTGAAGTGGAGTGTGTGTTGGTGGTGGTGTAGACCAAAAAGTAGGGATTCACTGGCCAGAAAAAGCCACTTCATAGCTGTGTGGTGTAGACCAGGCTGAATAGTGGCGGTCAATTCTTCAGCCTTGCAACCTGTTGAATGGTGCAATCCCAGCACAAGCTGCTATGACTTCTGCTGTAGCATCGCTATCATCGCCTTTGGCGATGGGCGTCCAATGGTCCAATGGTGGTGTAGGGGTCGAGTGTGTGTGTGTGTGTAACGTGCGTGGTCTAAGGCTAGGAGGCTACTACCCACAGTCAGTCAACTAACATATCAGAACTTACTCCGGCACGGCCTGGAGGTTATCTTATATCAAAGTGAAAGTGAACTTGCTCTCTCTCAACCACGACTCTCTCTCCGATCTCTGATCTCTCTCCTTCGATCTCTCTCTTGAGATACAAACTAGAGAACTACTTATACAGAATCTAACAAGGCCGTTGGCAAGGGGGCCAGCTAGGAAGCTTCAGCTGGGGTCTATTGCGGGAAACAAGCAGCAGGCAGCAAAACAGCTAAAGAATGTATGTGATAGTGTAGCAAGCAACCTGGAAATGCCATTGATTACTCGCAGCACGCTCAAGTGCTACAAAGGAAGCATTGGAGCATGAAACTGATATCGCAGTGAAGATAAGTCCATACAACTGCACAAGGACCTCTTGCAAATGAAGCATAGCGGCACAAGTATTGTATTTGGAAACAATGAAGACTACTGATAATTAGTGTTGGTCTAGCTACTCTCCAGTGTGTAGTGGCGCCATGCACGGATCATGGAAGAACAATCGTAAATGTAGGAAGTACTGTATGCAGTTCTAAACAATAAGAGTCATGCAACATGCATGTACTACTAGTCATGTGTAAACTGTAAAGCAGGGATACTACATGTGTATGGGGGGGGGGGGGGTGGAGAGGGCTGTGTGTGTGGGGGGGGGGGGGGGTGGAGAGGGCTGTGTGTGTGTGGGGGGGGGGGGGGGGTGGAGAGGGCTGTGTGTG